GGCTATCACGTCGAGTAGCTCAGGTAGGGCTGTTGCCATGCGGCAGGGAGCCAGGTACGTAAGCAACAAGCCCATCTGAACCCCACGGCCCCACCTCACAAGGAGGGACTCACATCCGGCTATCTGAGGCACAGTGGTCTCCCTCGGACCCAGATCCTCGTTAATAATAACCGCCACCCCCCCGCCCCTCCCCTGAGCCCTCGGCTGATGGAATGCTCTGAAGCCTGGTGGGCACATTTCAACCAGAGGGACGCCACCCTCCGGGCCCAACCAGGTCTCCGTAATACCCGCCAGGTCCGCTCCTCCCTCTTGTATAAGATCGTGAATGAGGGGGGCCTTATTGACCACGGACCTGGCATTGCACAGCATCAGCCGAAGGCCCAGCTCCTGAGTATCTAAGCCACCTAGTATCCGAGCAGAGCCTTGGGGAATAAGTCCCTGCATTAATTACATTCCCACAAACCAAGTTTAATGCTTAAACTTTAATCTTTCCCTGTGTTCCATGTATTGTTTAATCATCAATTAATCAGCAAAGAAGAAGAAAAAATGTGACTAACTGGCTGAAAGGCTAGTCACACTGGTCAGTCTTCTAACTAGTCATTTTCAGATCAATGTTTCTCAACCTCAGCAATTTAAAGATGTGTGGACTTTAACTCTCAAAATTCCCTAGCCAGCATTTCTGTTAGAATGTGTTAGGCCAACTGTGTTAATTAGATTACAACTCCCTTTGGCCAGAGTAGCTGGGAATTCTGAAGTTATAATGGGTGGGAAGAGTTCAAATAGTGTAGCCAACCGGGAATGAACTCAGATTTAAGAACTTGGTGATCTAGCTTTTAATAAGCTGTGGGAACTGGTCTTAAAGTGGCTTGTGTAGAGTTTGTGGTCACTCACCTAAAAGCTTATGGTAAAGCCTACCCATTTAGGATTAAAATAATATGGCCATAAGGATCCTTTATAGGTCAGTAGTATTACCAATGCTTAGAAAGAGTTGAATTCTTAGAGATGAAGCTCAGAATTAAGGAAATGCCATCAGATTGTGCGTATTGCGAACCTTCAAACCTTCTCTGAACTCATGAAGGCTTATCCAAAAGACTCACTGGAGAAAGGCCTAATGCTGGGAATGATTGAGGGCATAAGAAGAAGGGGACGACAGAGAATGAGGTGGCTGGATGGAGTCACTGAAGCAGTCAGTGTGAGATTAAATGGACTCCGGGGGATGATAGAGGACAGGAAGGCCTGGAGGAACCAGGGGGTCCATGGGGTCGCAATGGGTCAGACACAACTTTGCGACTAACAACAACAACAACAACAACAACAACAACAACAACAACAAAGGATGCTGGCTGATTTTGATAGTCTTAAGATTCTATCTGAGTCTCCAGATTGTTTGGTGGAAGCTAGAAACAATCACCCTGTCTGCCTTCTTATCTCTAATCTGCTGAAAGCAAGATAGGTCTAAGATTTGAAGATGAAATATCTCCAAGGAAAAAAAAAACTTCTCTTTTTTTCAGTTAAATGAAGGGTGGTTATTTGTAAGAGTATCAACATAACTATTTTATTTAAATGTATTGGTCACCTAACTCCAGTGAATTGTGGGCAGGGTACAAAACTAGGGAAAACATTAAAAAAATAATATCATTTTTAATATTACTGCACAAGTTGATGGTAAATTATTGCAATTGCTGCTGTTAGCACGTTTATTCTATTTTTGATGTTGATTTGTTAACAATGTTAGCCACTTAAAAGCAAAACACGCAACTCAGATTTTAAGCATGATTTTCATCAGGTGACGTCTCTAAGTCTCACAAAGTACGGTACTCTTTTCTACCTTAGCCACATTTATTTCCAAGCATTTTGTTTGCAAAAGGGAGTTTAATGAAAGGACATCACAATGTTCTTTGTGTAAGAACTCAGTTATTTGAATAAGCAGATGTGCCACTCTCTCCCCATCACCCATGCCTAACCCTCCACTTACAGAACTGTGTTGCTTAAGACTTGCAAATGAAAAGTCAAACAAGAGCATTTAAGCCCCCCACTGATTAGGGGATACAATTCTTTTCAAGGACACTCTGCATTTTCTTCAGTAGTAGGCAGTCTACCCCATGGTTATCTTACATATTAAGAGAAAGTGGATTGGAAGAAAATAAACATGGTTTTAAAACTAAAGGAAGAAACAGCCTGTGGTATGTTGAAGAGACTGTCTGGATAGCTGTAAATGCAAAGGATCTGCACGCTCTAGTAATAAAAGGCAAGGAGCACAGTAAAAAAAAGTGAGACTAAAATTAAAGTTAAAGAATACCAAGCTAATGGCAACAGATAGAACAAGATAGATAGAATTGAAATGGAGCTATCAAAGTGGTTGATAACATCTGCTTTTTAGGATCAACCATCAACAGAAAACAGTGTCTGAAGAACATCAACAGAGCTGAAGAAGCTTCTTGGATGAGAAGCAAAACTTCTTCAAAGAAAAACCAGAAAGTCCAGTTGCCTCTTGAAAAAGCATCTTTGGGGCAACCATGACTTGGATAACTGAGAATCTCTATAGACATCAAAAGAATATCAAGAAATATGCCATAGATATGACATTTGGTAGATCAGCCATGAAGCCTTGGAGAAGATATTTAGATGCCATGATGTACTAAAATTTTATCTACAAAAATCAGCATCATGCAAACGATGGTATTTTCTGTGACACTGACAGGTGCAAATGGAAGTCCATGTGAAAGCAAAAATTGGACTTTGAAGAAGCAGGATAGGATGAGTATTGGTCCTTTTGACACCTTTGGTGTTGGAGAAGATTCTTGAGAATATTTGGACAGCTAATAAAACAAATGGATTTGCATCCCAGAGGCATCAATGACCAGGCTCAAATTATCCTACTTCAGACACACTATGTGAAGATCTAGTTCTCTAGGAAGGGATTTAATGCTTTGAAGAGTGAAAGGAAAGACTATTACAACCAGCAACAACACTGTTGAAAAACCTGAAAAACCAAGTTAGGGTCAGATTATCATGGAAAAAATCCATCCACATGGTAACTAGGAGTCAACACCAACTTCACTGCATATAACCAATTGCAATCTCTAATGGGAAAACTGAATAGAATAGAATAGAGGAAGATTATCCTGCAAATAAACTTGTCCTATACCATGTAGGGCTTTATAGGTGATTATTAGTACCCAGAATCGCACTGAGAATCTGGTAAGCAATCAGCATAGCTTGTGAAGTAGTGGTGTTATCTCAGCATACTAAAACACACAAATAGAATAAAATAGAATAAGAATAAGAATAGACTAGACTAGATAGAATTCTTTATTGGCCAAGTGTGATTGGACACACAAGGAATTTGTCTTTGGTGTATATGCTCTCAGTGAACATAAGGAGAATAAAATACATTCATCAAGAATAAAAAGATACAACACTTAGTGATAGTCAAGTTTACTATTAAACTATCAAATCGTACTAGGAAACAAAAACAATATAAATTGAAAGATACAAGAAACACGGTTATAGTAATAAGTGGAAAGAGATAGATACTAGTAAGGAAGAGAATAATAGTAATACAGTCTTAGTAAATTATTCGACAGTGTTGTGGGAATTAATAGTTAAGCAGAGTGATGGCATTCCAGAAAAAAATGTCCTTGTGTCTAGTTGTTTTGGTGTGCAGTGCCCTATAGTGTGGTTTTGAGGGTAGAAGTTGAAACAATTTATGTCCAGGATGTGGGGGATCTGTAGGTATTTTCACAGCCCTCTTTTTGACTCATGCATTATACAGGTCCTCAATGGAAGGCAGGTTGTTCTTAAACAAGAAGCTCCCTCAAGGAGCCAAGACTGAAGTCATTCTTCCTTTGTATTGGGTTGACGTTGGTGGGATTTTGCTGTCACTAGCTCAGCCTCAACCATACTCCGCAAAGCGATCTGCCCCCTCCCAATCTGTGCGTGGGACTCTCATAGTTCCTCACAGCATCAGATTGTCAGATTAGCCTTCCCCAAAAAGAAGTTGAGGCCAGGCTAGTCAAGATGCGGTTTGTCTTTTTCACCCAGGCAAACTTCTACACAGAATTTTACCAATGAGTGAAATAATAAGTTGGAAGGACTTTGGGAGAGTGAGGAGGGGGAGAGGTTTAAAGAGACAAATTTTCCTAAGGATGGCAGTCTAACTCAGGGGTCTCCAACCTTTGCTGGCTGGGGAATTCTGGGAGTTGAAGTCCTCCAGGCTTAAAGTTGCCAAGGCTGGAGACCCCTTGTCTAACTAGTTTGTACGTTGCCTCATACGCAGCAAGTTGTTGAGCAACGTTGGCAGCTTTGTTTCCCTTGCAAAGTCCTCGAAGCAGAATCCAGAAGAACAAGAGTCGGAAGGGACCTTAAGAGGTCTTCTAGTCCAACCCCCTGCAGAAGCAGGCTTTAAAGTTGCCAAAGTTGGAGACCTCTGGTCTAACTAGTTTGTACATTGCCTCATACGCAGCAAGTTGTTGAAGCAATGTTAGCAGCTTTGTTTCCCTCGCAAAGTCCTCGAAGCAGAAAGCCAGAAGAACAAGAGTCGGAAGGGACCTTAAGAGGTCTTCTAGTCCAACCCCCTGCAGAAGCAGGTTTTAAAGTTGCCAAGGTTGGAGACCCCTGGTCTAACTAATTTGTACGTTGCCTCATACGCAGCAAGTTGTTGAAGCAACATTGGCAGCTTTGTTTCCCTCGAAAATTCCTCGAAGCAGAATCCAGAACAAGAATTGGAAGGGACCTTAAGAGGTCTTCTAGTCCAACCCCCCCTGCCGAAGCAGGAGAACTGATACCATTCCGGACAAAAACCCCAGTCTTTTAAAGAGAGACGTACAGTCGTTTTCTTAGCTCCCTCTTGCAATTTTGGTGAGGGGAAAAGTGTCGCGCGTAAAAGAAGCTGGATAGGGCCAGTGGGAAACACGTGCCGAGAGGATTTCCTTTCCCTCAGCCATTAGATCCAAGGCGGGTGCTTGGACTCTTCCCCCCCCCTTTTTTTTCTTACCTACCCTGACCGAAGTCTTTCCGAGGTACACGACCCTCCGGAGAAAGCTGGGCGAGCCTTGTTGGTAGTTGAGGTACTGGACGGCCGTCTGGGCGACCCTCAAGAATTGCAACTCTGAGGCATCGAGCTTGCTCCGGGAAAGAGGCAGCAGCTGCTCCAGGTAGCGACCGGCGTTCGGTTGAGCCGAGCAGAGCGCGGCCAAGAGCAGCGGGAGAACGACCGCCGCCATCCGAGGCATCCTAGCGATGAGACAGGGTGAGGGGCTGACGCGGAGCTGGACCCGGCGCGCATTCAAATAGCGCCCCGGAGGCTCGGCCCCTCCCTGGCCAGCCTCCAACCCCGGCGAGGAGGCGCCCTTCTGGGTAGCGCCCACTCCTTCCTCTGGCCCTTCGCTGCCCTTTCGCTGCTGCTCTTACCCTGAGCCAAATCGAGCCCGGCTCTCCACCCACGGGCGACCATCCTCATTTCTCTCTCCCTCCCCCCTCACACCAGGAATCGGCTGAGGTAGTGAGCTTTAATTTGCTCAGCTGACTTCCCCGGCCAGATGTTGTCCAGATGTGTGAGATTTGTATGGCCGGGGTTCTTATTGAACCCTAACCCTGACTAAGTGGCTCAGTGGCTAAGACACTGAGCTTGTCCATCAGAAAGTTCGGCGGTTCAAATCCCTAGTCCTGTATGAGCAGGGGGTTGGACTAGATGACCTCTAAAGTCCCTTCCAACACTGTTACTTATTTATAGCCTGGTAAAACAGGCGCCACTTATCCTTCGCCCCTACTTGAAAATGCCCTTAGCCACTGTAGGAAGTTAGCACCCACCCCTTTCCTAGAAGAATGAAATATTTTAGGAAATATTAAAAAGGCAGAATATTATGTTTCCCTGGATGAGAAATGGAGAAGCATGTTTTAAAGATGAAGCAGTTCCCACCTTTTTGCCCCCCCTCCCTTTGTCAATAGGCCAGAGGCAGAAACTCAATTCCCTCCCATCTTTGCCAATGGACCATCATCTGCAACACAATAGGACCCATCTAGCAACAGAAACTCACCACATGGCACCTGGGAAGATTACATCAGCCAGCAAGGCTAGCTAAAACCCCCACCCCTTGGAAGTCTGACAACCAATCAGGATACTCTTTCGGGGCCCTAGGAAGTTCTAAGCCAGAGAGGGCGTAAAACCCGGGGACTCACTGCATCTCTACCCTTTTCTGTTCAGGAACTCAAACCATGTGATCCTGTCCACCATTAAACCATCTTTCCAAGCAGTCTCCATGTTTCCAGTGTCTTTTTCCCCACTTGGAGCTGAACCCAGAAGGATATGTCTTTCTACACCACTAGCTGGGTGTCAGAGGCTCATCTGCCTGGTTCTAGTGTTGATCTTTTCATTTTTCCCCCAAAGGAAAATTTTAAAACTTCAAATAGGCCTTCTTTTTCTTCTCATCTTTTCTATTTCCCTCCAGGTTTATTACAGGTAGTCTTCCAGTTATGACCATTATTGAGCCCAAAGTTTAGGTGGCTAAGTCAAACATTTGTTAAAGCAAGTTTGCCCCAGTTTAGGACTTTTTTTACTTCCCCCAGTTGTTAAGTGGATCGTTGCATTTGTTAAGTGAGTAAGATGGTTGTTAAGTGAATCTGGCTTCCTCGTTGACTTTGCTTGTCGGAAGGTCACAAAAGCTGATCACATGACCCTGGGACACTGCAACGGTCATAAATATGAACCGGTTGCCAAGCATCTGAATTTTGATCACATGATCGGGATGCTACAAAGGTCGTAAGCGTGAAAAATGGTCATAAGTCACTTTTTTCAGACCCTTTGTGACTTTGAACTGTCAATAAATGAGTTATTGTAAGTTGAGGACTACCTGTATTAGGATATGTGTCGCACAAGCAGCCACATGTTTAGACTAGATTTGGTATTTTTATCCACCTATTCAGTCTTTCCCAAGGAGGATGACAATGATGATGATTTAAAATCTAGTTTGAAATAAAACCCAGCTGAGGTTCTCTAGTGTATCTAATGTACTATAGATTTATACAAGATTACTGGTTGTGCAGTTGATTTTCAGCTGCTTTCCTAATGACCTTGAGCATGAAATTGGCTTTTTTCAACTGATTATATACAATTGGGCCAGAGAGTGTATTGTATATATTGTATCTGTTGTATCAAAAGCTGTTTTCTGTTTGGCCAAAAATCGTAACCATTTTATCCTCAAAGTGCCTCACAATCTCATCACAGCTGGTCTTTGAAGAGTTCAACAATTACTTTTCTGAGGCAGTTGACTATAAGTGTGTAAAAGGTCCTGTTGGATGAGGATACAATTACCTCCATGCAAGAATCTGGAAGTTGAGTCATGGCCACTGGACTTCTTTTCTTGTTGGTTCTGAAGTAGCTTCTTCAGTCACAGTTAAGCAGTGAAACGTTTTGAACCAACAAGAAAAGAAGTCCAATTGCCATGACAACTTTATCTGGATGATTGACAATAATTATCAACTCCATGCAAGAGATACAAATGTGTCTCAAAGATCTTCCATAATTTCTCTCTGGCTGTTTCCTGCCTATATAGAGATCTCCAGAGAACCAAGGAGAAAACTCAAGCTTTACATGACCGACAAGAAGAATCAAGTCAATGGCCCATTTAATAGCTTCCTATTCCATAGGTCAACAAATGCCTATACAAGATCAGCAGCTTGGGCTTCTGGAAATTATTTTATGATGTTCTTTTGCACATGGTTTCTTATTAATTTATTGGTTTACCAATGATTAATTAAGTTTAACTTACACTTGAAAGTTTTGATTCTGTTTTTCCACTCCCTTTCCTTCCTTCTCAGAAAAATACTTAACAATATTATGACAAGCAGCTTACCCCATAATGGCTAGCACATGTTTTTCTAATTCTGCAGAAATTATTTGGACAAAATCCAACATTTTCATACTTTCTTTGTCATTTCATAACTGGATTCTGCGGAATAATGTTTTTTCAATGTCTTCTTCCCTGCTTTTAAAGTCATTCGTAACTTCTTCCCAAGATGCCTGCTTTTCTTTCTACTGATTACCAACAGAATCAAAATTTTCTTCTAATTTGCTAAAGAAGAGCAGGCACTAATCCATCTCTGAAGGATAGCTTACATATTTTAAACATAAAATATGTTGTTACTAAAGAGACCTTTCATTTTCAGAATGACTACACTTTTGAATAGCAAATGCTGGAAATAAAGAACAGAGCAATGGTGTTACATATATAGTATTTTTGTGGACATTTCAACTATATTTGCATTGTTACATTTAAAAAGAAACACTTCAATAAGAATAGAATTTGGAATGGAATGGAATGGAATGGAATGGAATGGAGTAGAGTAGAGTAGAGTAGAGTAGAGTAGAATAATTTACTTACTCATGCTGTTCCTCAAATGATCATGTAAACAGCCAGTTTTTATAAGACAACTTGTACAAATTCCAGTCCAAGAACACAAATATTTCTGAATTTAGTGTCATTTTTATGATGCAACACTTCAACTGCTTATGTGGATTATAAGAACATCCATTCTAAGACTGGAAAATATATTGGCTTCTACATGCAAAAGGACTCATAAAACATACTGAAGGATCTTGGGGGCAGGAAGAGTCCCAGCATTGATTAGAACACTACATTGATCAGCTAACACATATAAAAAAAAAGATTACTCAGAGTTCCAGGAAGATCTCTTTAAACTGGATGAATCAGCTTTCAAATAGCATTTACTATTTTAAGTAATGTGTCTCAGATGAGAACTCTGGACTGATTTATTCAATGATCCATTGGTTTATTTTCCCCAGTATTCTTAGGAATGTCCTCCAATATCAAAGTTCAAAGGTATCAATGGCTCTTCCTATAACTATTTTCTTTTAAGTTCACATTTTGCTTCCATAGTGAGTCACAGAGAATATTTTGAAAACATTTTTAACAGGGAGCTTTTATTTAGCTGAATGTGGGCCACGTCCCTTTGCAAATTAGACTTATTTATCTAAAATGAGGCATATTCCATATGCATCATTGGAGCAGACACATATTGAAGATTATATAATGTTGAGCCCTAGGAGTTTAAAGAAAATCTGATAGCCCCACTCCACTTTTTAATATTGTCATTGCATAATTTATTTATTTTTTTAAAAAAAGAAAGAAAACCAAGTTCTCACTTCAGGATGCCTCATTAAGATTTTGAAATCGCTAAAAACAAAAAGGTACCCGTAGAAAGAAGATAAAGGGAAACTAAGGAAAAGGGGAAGGACCAAGGGATCTTTTAAACATACATGGTTTAAGATCAGTGAGAGACAGGAACCCACAAAGATTATCCTCTTTACTGCAGGAATCGGATAAACTATTCTTTCAGAGGTAAAAAAAAAAATCTGGTGTGTCAAGATTCTTTCAAATTCAGCACCGGAAGAATTAGGAAAGATTAGTTGTGTCAGTGTACATACATCTGTGCAACGTAATTAATTGATAAGGTATCCTTCCAGCACAGACAGCACTTGGTGATAACGAGTCAGTGTTGACTCTTGACTCTTGGCAATTGTCTGGACAAGTCCCTGCAGTTTTCTTGACCAGATTACGAAAGTGGTTTTCCATTACCTCCTTCCTAAGGCTAAGAGAGAGCTGACTGTCCCAAGCTCACACAGCTGGGTTTATGCCTAAAATGGAACTAAAACTCATGGTCTTCTGCTTCTCTAGGCTGATACTTTATAACCACAACACCAAACTGGGTGTCTCTGTTCCCCTTGTGTAAGCAATGGCGAAGGATGCAACTACTGCACTTTGGCCCTTCCTTCGCTTGAGGTTTGTCTCGCCTGAATTTCAGTAGCAACGGAGCTTCTCCTGTGATTTTTCTCAACCTGGTATGAAGACTTTCCTTAACTGCCTAGTTTTTTAAATATGAACTTTTTTTTTTGGTGAACGCTCCACTTGGCATGGGCCAATCTAGCCCCTTTCTGCTTTTTCTCCACCTGAGTCTTTCATCTCATTCTCAACTCATGATGAGATTGGTTTATGGTCTTAATAGGCTTTAAATAGTCTATAATTAATGTTGCATTTTCTGTTTAATTTTGACTCTGATGACCAGTTGGATGGTCAGAGATGTATTTGATATAGTCTTTCCCTCTCCTCACTAATAATCAGCCTTCAGTATAGTCATTCCTCGGTCAGCTTTAGCCGTCTCTATCAGCAGTTTGTTTCATGCGTTTTGTACCCATCACCTATTTTTATTCTTTTAGAGACCACGGAAGAGGAGATAACAGCAGAGCTCCACTCTTTCA